AGTTAAGGAAAGTTAGATCAAATGTCAGCAATCAAAAAATGGGTTTCCTGAGGTATATTTTATATACAAAGTCATATGGTTTTGTATGGGTTAAATACTTTGTTAATTTCAAAATGTGACAATTAAGCAACCTTTTTTTTTTTAGCATAGATGATCATCAAATTTACAAAGTAGTTTCATTGTGTCTATATCTATGGATGCCTTAGTCGATTTCATGGATTTGGTAATGTGTTCGATGGCTAAACTTATTTGACAGACGAACTTTGGTGAGATTACGTTAATTAACTATAAAATGTCATTTTCACACGTAATTTATTTTCAGATTACTCATTATTTATGCTTTATTTATTTATAGATAATGCTATTTCACCAAGGCAATCGACCACATACCAAATGTCTCAACAAGACGGTTAACTTTACTAATGCATATATGAAGAATGACTTTATTGAGACATGTAAGTTTTGATACCATCAATGCTAAACAAATTAATGACTAAAATGATATATTTTAAAAGCAAGATGGCCAACATGATTTTTAATCCATTTTTATTTGCTAAGGTATTTGATCAAATGGTAAGACATTCATTTGTTGACCTAAATTTCCACCATTCGACTAAATTTCTCAAAATTTCTTATGAAACAGATATTATCAGTAGAAGTTCGAAATAGTAAATATTCTAGTGATGGATAAAGATATATATTCTTTAGTGAAACAAACTTGTGATTTCAAAAAATTTCACCAAATCAATAACCCTCCTCACAAAATCTAAACTTGCCTTTATTTGCAAAAAAAAAATGAGACAAGACTTGTAGTTTAAATTTTGTAAAGTTCATTATTAGTGGAAATGGGATCCACACGCCATTGATAGGAAAATTGCAAAAAGAAAAAAAAAATAATAAGCTGTCCCAAAAATAAGTGAAAGTGAATATAAAGTGAACAACTGTATCTATGCTCTTTCCATCCCATTTCTTCATGATATATTTTTCTAAGTATATCCTCAACGCGGATTCAACTCTTGAAATTTGTCAACTACCATATTCATATTATCGTACAACTGTCTTGGAATGTTGAATTTTCTCTCTCTCAACTCTCTCTCTCTACTTCTTGAATTTCAAGAAATTCCTCTCTTATAAAGGCTTTTCGAACTCCTCTTTACTACTCAAAATTCAATAATTGCCTAAAATTTCTGCTTATTTTGGAAGAAAATTGCTTATTTCTTCAATGGGAAATTACATTTCTTGCACATTGTCATCGCCGGCTGGCAAGCATTCCGGCGGGGCTGCAAAGGTTATTTTTCCGGCAGGTGAAATACGGAAATTCTACGAGCCCACAAAAGCTGCAGAACTAATGCTTGAATCCCCAAATTCTTTCCTCGTAAACACGAAATCACTTCAAATTGGGGGAAGATTTTCTGCACTAAATGCAGACGAAGACCTCGAAATGGCAAATGTTTATGTATTTTTTCCGATGAACAGGTTGAACACTCGGGTGACCACTTCCGACATGGGTACACTGTTCTTAACAGCAAATTCAGCTGCAAAACGGCCAGTGTCCATTGTCAATATGAGAATCTTGCCGGAATGTAGTGAAAAACCGGTGCCGAAACTGAATTTGAATGATATTGAAGAATTTTCGACGCCAGAGTTTCAGCACCGGCTGTCCATTTGTCGATCCAGGAAGCCATTGTTGGAGACTATAGTTGAAGAACCAGTTAATTTGAGAATATAACAAAATTAATTAATTGATAGGAATATCTGTATTTTTTGAATATCTCTTCAAATTTTAGCAAAAAGAGAGACATGTTTTAGGGTTTGTGGTAAAGGGATGAAGATTGCATTGTATATGAAAGATTTTGTGCATTTTTCTTTGAACAAATTTGTGTTTTTTCATTAGAGCTCTTGATCCGAGTTTAATTGCACAAGTCGTGGACAAGATCTAATCAACTTTGAATAATGCTATCCATAATCCATCTCTAGTTCAATTTATGTGGCCACACTCAAGATTGATCTGAGAATTTTGATGACTTGTGCGATTAATTATTTTGAGGCCCCTAACACCAAATTTTTACA